CTTTCTTTCTTTCTTTCTTTCTTTCTTTCTTTCTTTCTTTCTTCTTTTTACAATAACTCAAGGCAACGAACACAGACAATAGTGCTTCCTTCTCCTATCTTCCCCACAACAACCCTGTGAGGTGCGTTGGGTTGAGATAGAAGGACCAGGTTTTTTTTAATCAATAGCCACAGAAACTTAACTTTGCAGTCTTCTATCAGAATTACATTTTCACTCCTCCAGCTAACAGCACAATTGTTCAAATAGGGCATATAAGGTATGTTAAGAACATCCTTTAAAGCAGGGGTCTCCAACCTTAAACACTTTAAGACTTGTGGACTTCAACTCCCCTCAGCAAAGCTGGCTGAGGAATTCTGGGAGTTGAAGTCCATAAGTCTTAAAGTTGCCAAGGTTGGAGACCCCTGCTTTAGAATGGAATGGAATGGAATGGAATGGAATGGAATAGAATAGAATAGAATAGAATAGAATAGAATAGAATAGAATAGAATAGAATAGAATAGAATAGAATAGAATAGAATAGAATAGAATATGGAATGGAGTAGAGTAGGGTAGAGTAGAGTAGAGTAGAGTAGAGTAGAGTAGAACAGAACAGAACAGAATTCTTTATTGGCCAAGTGTGATTGGACACACAAGCAATTTGTCTTGGTGGCAAATGCTCTCAGTGTACATAAAAGAAAAGATACATTTGTCAAGAGTCGAGAATCATCAGGTACCACACTTAATGATAGTCATAGGGTATAATAAGCAATCAAATCATACTAGGAAACAGTCCATATAAATCGTAAGGATACAAGCAACAAAGTTACAGTCCTACAGTCACAAGTGGGAGGGGAATGGGCGATAAGGAGTGATGAGAAGATTAATAGTAATAGTAATGCAGACTGAGTAAATAGCTGGACAGTGCTGAGGGAATTATTTGTTTAGCAGAGTGATGGCATGGGGGGGGAACTGTCCTTGTGTCTAGTTGTTCTGGTTTTGAGGGTAGGAGTTGAAACAGTTTATGTCCAGGATGTGAGGGGTCTGTAGATATTTTCACAGCCCCCTTTTTGACTCGTGCAGTATACAGGTCCTTGATGGAAGGCAGGTTGTTAGTAAAAAAAAATTCTGCAAAGCATCTTCAAAGCATCCTTAAAAGAAAACCAGGCAATTGCCAGACTCTTTGGCAGCTGCCTACATCAAAAGAAATTCCTTTTCCAACAAGTATGATTTCTGTTGAGTAAGATTAGTTAAGGAAAAAAAGAAGGATTTACAAGAATGGCAGTAACTGAACTATTTTAAATTTAGAACTAATAAATTGGTGTTTACATTGGTGTATATACAGACTTGTTTACTGGCTTTCCAACAGCCTTCCTGTGATCTGGAGGGGATGCAGGACTACCATAACCATCTTCTGAATCTTTATCTGTTCCATCCTTTTAAATGAAGAACACGTTTTCATTGGAAAACTTAAGGGCAGCCTAGGCCTTGAAGAAAACAAGTTTAATCTCCTGTATCAGATGGACTGCATCCCAAGGTTCTTAAAGAAATGAATGATGGTCTGGTTAAGCCCTTGTGTCTTTGAGAAATCCCGGAGAACCAGGGAAATGTCAAGGAAAGGAAGGAAAGGAAGATTTAGAAAACAAGAGGCCAGTCAGTCTGACTTCAATATCTAGGAAGATTCCAGAGCAGGCATAGAGAACTCAATGGAATGAGGGGCAGTCAACAAAGAAGAGAAGGTCGACCTATTTTCCAAAGCACCAGAAGGCAGGACAAGAAACAACAGATGGAAACTAACCAAGGAGAGAAGCAATCTAGAACTAAGGAGAAATTTCCTGACATTGAGAACAATTAACCAGTGGATCGACTTGCCTTCAGAAGTCGTGGATGCTCCATCACTGGAAGCTTTTAAGAAGAGACTGGTCTGGAATGATATAGGGCAATGGTGGCTAACCTTTTTGGGCTCCTGTGCCAAAAATTGTGCACATGCATGCGCTTGCGCACCAACACCCAGAAGGCAATGCACGCACCTCTCCATGCCCCCTGCGCATGTGCGCGCAATCCCCACCCCCTTACCTGTACTGCACCTCATAGCTGATTTGAGGCCTTTTTCAGCCTCCCAGAGGCTTGAAAAAAGACTCTGCAGGCTTTGCAGGCCGAATAATAGGCTCGTTTCATCACTTCCGGTATTATAGGAAGTGATAAAACGGGCCTATTATTCGTCCTGCAAAGCCTGTATAGGCTTTTTTCAAGCCTCTGGGAGGCCAAAAAAGGCCTCTAACCAGCTGAAAAGTCAGCTGTGAGGCACACGCATGCTCAGTGAGATAAGTTTGCCTGTGACTCGCGTGCTGGCACAAATGGCTCTGTGTGCACGCGTGCCATAGGTTCATCATCATGTGTATAGGGTTTCCTGCTTGAGCAAGGGATTGGACTAGATGACCTCCAAGGTCCCTTCTGTTATTCTGTATAAGAATTTTGAAAATATGATTACTAGAAATCAGCATGAATTTGTCCAGAGCAAATTTGCCAAACTAACCTACTGTCTCAGTTTGTTCGACCATCAGCTTCTTTAATGGGTAGATAGAGGGAATGCTATCAACATAATATACCTTGGCTTCAAAGCAAAGCATTTGACAAACACAGTGACAAGTTGCTTAACAACCTATTGTGGGGTGCAAGAATGACAATTAAGGGGATACACAGTTGTCCCCAAAATCAGAGTCAAGGGGTGTGCATGCTCCTCAAAATGGAGGCGTATCTTGTGGAGATGCTGCGAGGAACAGTCCTGGTGCCTCTTTTGTTCAATACTTTTATTAAGGATTTGAGTGAAGTGATAGAAAGAACACTCATCAAACGTTCCAAGTGATGCTGTTTTGACCCAGCTCTCCAAACACGTCAACCCATTCTGAAGTTAAATCAATGGTTCTGTCAACTCATAAAACATTTCTAAGGCCTTTCAGAGTTGCCAACAGAAAGGGAGGGGGGAAAGGGGTTTGAAAGGGCAGTGCAGCAGCTTGGAAATCAAAACTGCATTCCATACATAGTTTTTCAGATATTGCAACTAGGTGACTGAAGTTTCTGCTGCGAAAAAATATAACTGGAGAGCATGATTGATGACTCTTGGCTATGGATGTGTCCCATTGGAGAATATGAATTACGATATACCCAGGGGGTGGGGGAAAACCAGGGTCAAGGGTGACAAAGAATGATGTGTCTCAGAGTCGGCTACACCCAGACAGTGCTGACATATTAACTCCCAAATAAATTCTGTTTAGTTTTGGAAGTTTGGCTCGAGACTCATAATTTAATTGGGGTAACTGCCGGAAACCTGACAGATTCCTTTATTAGGAGGGCCTGCAGCCCCAGCAAAAAGTTTATATCTCATCGCAGGCTAACAAGTCCATCCGGTCAGAAGATGAATAGTTTTCTGCCACATTTATTCATCTCTGGCCCCTGCCTTTTATCCCCAGAGCTAGGGTGGGGCTTCATTTGCAACTGTGGCTCTTTCGTCCCAAGGACCAGCCCATAGATTTCCACTGCTCTCCTCTCCTCTACCATCCATGTGTCAGGCACTGGGCCCAGCTGTTCCTCCTCTTCCTCATCAGCCAACTCCAGACCTGGGGGCTGTTGACTTTACGTCTGAGGGCTGATGGACGGCCCAGGCTCTGCCTCTGTCTCTGCCTCTCTCTCTCTCTCTCTCTCTCTCTCTCTCTCTCTCTCTCTCTGCCAGCTCCATTCCCTCTTCCCCCTCGGAGCTCTCAGGTTGCCTTGATGCTGACCCTGACTCCCATGCTGCCTCTTCCTCCTCCTCTGATTCAGCCTGCTGGAGGGGCCAGCAACCAACAGGGCACAATAGACCCAAAATATTTAATGAGGGAGATAATACAAGCAGTCCCTAACTTAACAACCATTCATTTACCAACCATTCAAAGTTATGGTGGGGGGAAAAAAAGTGATCTACAACCAGTCCTCGCACTTATGACCATCACAGCATCTCTATGGTTACATGATCAGAATCCAGGCACTTGGCATCCACCATGTATTTAGAATGGTTGCAGCATCCCCAGGGGTCACGTGATCGCCAGTTGCGACCTTCCCATCCAAGGGGGGGGAAGCTAGATTCACTTAACGACTGCATCACTCACGTAACAACTGCAGTGATTTGCTTAACAGCAATGGCAAAAAGGTTATAAAATCAGGCGTACCTCAACAACTGCCTTGCTTAGCGATGGAAATTCTGATCCTGTGGTCATAAGTTGAGGACTACCTGCAGCTAAAATGCTAAATAAGGCAGCACTCAGGAACATCTGGATGAGTTACTGCTGAGGTATCCAGCCTGGAGCAGGGGTTCAGGAAGTCAAAATGGCAGCCCCAGGCACCTGAGTGAAGTTCACCCCCTTTTAACGTGACGCCCATAACAAATGGAGATTCTGTGGCGCAGTGGATTAGAGTGCAGTATTGCAAACTACTTCTGCTGGAGCCTGCTGCCTACAATTTGGCAGTTCAAATCCCACCAGGCTCAAGGTTGACTCAGCCCTCCATCCTTCCGAGGTAGGTAAAACGAGGACCCAGATTGTTGGGGGCATCAGGCTGACTCTGTAAACCCCTTAGGGAGAGCTGGAAAGTACTGGGAAGCTGTATATAAGTCTAAGTGCTATTGCTATTGCTATATGGCGCTTCAGTCTCACAGTTGTGGTTACCATCATTTTCATCCCCGCAGACACCTCTGGCTTAGTACAAGCGGTTAACAACAATAGAACGAAATTTAACACTCCACTGCACATCTGTTTGCTCCCACATTAGCCCTCCCTTCCGCAAAATGGCAGGGTGAGAAATAACAAGCAATTGAATGGTTCTTTTTTTAAAAAAAAAATCTCAAAATATGTTCCCTGTTACACACCAGATGCGAACCAGCCATCCAAGTGGTGTAGCAAGAAGAACAGAATAACAGAGTTGGAAGGGACCTTGGAGGTCTTCTAGTCCAACCCCCTGCTCAAGCCTGTACCTTAAATAATGGAATATTGCATCCAGTTTTGGTTGCCACAGTATAAAAAAGATGTTGAAACTCTAGAAAGAGTGCAGAGAAGAGCAACCAAGATTATTAGGGGACTGGAGACTAAAACACACGAAGAACAGTTGCAGGAACTGGGCCTGGCTAGTCTAGTGAAGAGAAGGACCAGGGGAGACAGGAGAGCAGTGATCCAATATTTGAGGGGCTGCCACAGAGAGGAGGAAGAGGTCAAGCTGTTTTCCAAGACACCTAAAGGCCAGACAAGGAATCATGGATGGAAACTGAACAAGGAGAGATTCAACGTGGAAATAAGGAGGAATTTTCTGACAGTGAGAAGAATCAACCCATGGAACAGAAGTTGCCTTCGGAAGTTGTGGGAGCTTCATCCCTGGAGGCTTTCAAGAAGAGACTGGGATGCCATATGTCAGAAATGGTGTACGGTCAGCCTATTTACCAAAGCACCAGAAGGCAGGTTAAGAAACAATGGATAGAAGCTTGATAACATGAGCTCCAACCTAGAACTCAGGAGAAATTTCTTAACAGTGAGAACAATTAACCAATGTAACAGCTTATCTTCAGAAGTTGTGAATGCTCCAACACTGGAAGTTTTTAAGAAGACATTGGACAGCCATTTGTCCAGAATGGTATAGGGTCTCCTGTTTGTGCAAGGGGTTGGACTAAAAGACCTGAACTCTTAGTGCTGCCGCTTAATAAAACCTTAGTAAGACCACACCTGCAATACAGCAACCAATTTTAGTCGCCATACTATAAAAAAGATGTTGAGACTTTGGAAAAAGTTCAAAGAAGAGCAACTTAAGACAATCAAAGGCCTGGAGACTAAAACATATGAAGAATGGTTGCAGGAACTGGATATGGCCAGTTTAGAGAAAATAAGGACTAGGAGTGACATGATAGCAGTGTTCCAATATCTCAGGGGCTGCCACAAAGAAGAAGGGGTCAAACTGTTTTCCAAAGCACCAGAAGGTAGGACAAGAAACAATGGATGGAAATTAATCAAGGAGAGAAGCAACCTGGAATTGGGGAGAAACTTCCTAACAGGGAGGACAATTAACCAGTGGAAAGCTGGCCACCAGAAATCGTGGATGCTCCATCACTGGAGATTTTTAAAGACTAGTCTAGACTAGGGGTCTCCAAACTTGGCAAGTTTAAGACTTTCAACTTCCAGAATCCCTGAGCTAACAGGACTGGAGGAGGAATTCTGGGAGTTGAAGTCCACAAGTCTTTTTTTTCCCTTTTTTTTAAAAATAAAATTTTATTGGTTTTTAAAACAAACATAAACAAACAAAAGATAAAAACATCAAGCTATCTTCCATAGGTGTACATACAGTGTGCCAGTTGGTTTACAAATTGTTTTGTGCTTCCATTTTGTAGTCTTCAATTACAATTACATTGTATATGGTCTCGTATTTTCAATCCAATATTAAATATGTTGGTATCATTGTTAATCAATCATTTGACTATACTTTTACTCATTCATGCTTTAGGAAATAATCATATTTTACTTAATTTGTTTTGTGACAATTCATATTATCATCCCAAATCTATCCTAAAATCATTTTGTAGATATAATAAGAATACATCTTTATATATTTAGTATTTTCTAAAAGTCTACATATTTTGTTACTATACTTTATTGTCTAACCATTGATAGAATAGATCCCAAACTTTATAAAATTGTTTATCATCCTGTTCTCTAATTTCAAATGTCAATCTGCTCATTTCAGCACATTCCAATATTTTCTTAATAATTTCCTCCTGTGATGGTATTTTCTCATTTTTTCCAGTTTTTAGCAAATACAATCCTAGCCGCTGTTATAATACATTTACAATCAGGCATTGCAGTTCTTTACTATATATTTCAGGTAAAATTCCCAATAAAAATATCTCTGGCTTCCAATCTATATGCTTTTTTGTCATTTTTTCCAACCACGTGTGGATTTTAGTCCAGTATTTCTTAGCATCCGCACAAGTCCACCACGTAGGGTAATATGAGCCAGGTGTGTCTGATGACATTTCCAACATTTTTCGGATTTATTCTTGAGAAGCCCACAAGTCTTAAAGCTGTCAAGTTTGAAGAGACCCCTGAGTCTAGACAGTCACTACTCTGAAATGGTATAGGTTCTCCTGCTTGAAGCAGGAGGCTGGACTAGAAGACCTCTAAGGTCCCTTCCAGCTCATGCATTCTCCCTCTACCTCCGAGGTCCCTGTCAACTGTGTTATTCTGTAGTCCGGGAGGGTGGGGTCCGAAGGGAGGGGCCCGAATTGGAGGGACCCCCCCCCCCCCCCACACACCCCCCCACCCCCCGGGCGCTTCTCCCCCAGCATTTCCACCCATCAGCCGTGACGAAACCGCGACCCCCCTCCCCTCTTCTGGCTCAGCTAAGCCCCCTCCTCCAGTGCACCCGTGTCTTGGGGTCGCCCAGGTAAGACAGGCAGGGAATCTTCTCGCGAAGTCCCGCAGCCGCTTACCTGCAGCCTTTTCCTCTGCCGGCCCGCGGCGCTTTTCCTCTTCTCCGGCGCAAGCTAAGAACTCAAGCGACGTTTGAAGCCTGCGCGGATCCAAGGCTGGGCTTTTCTTTCGCAGCCCACGTGAGGACGGTCCCCGAGGGTGTTTTCGGAAGCGTGGCAAAGGCGGCCCTTCGCATCCCCTTCCCGCGAGTGGAATCCGGTTCTCCTGTTGGCGGGACGTGCGGAGAGTGAGTGAGTGAGGCTCAAGGATTAACAGAGTTGGAAGGGACCTTGTAGGTCATCTAGTCCAACTCTAGTGAGTGACGCTCAAGGATTAACAGAGTTGGAAGGGACCTTGTAGGTCATCTAGTCCAACTCTAGTGAGTGACGCTCAAGGATTAACAGAGTTGGAAGGGACCTTGTAGGTCATCTAGTCCAAC